GGGAGCCCGATGTGGGGCTCGATCCCAGGACCCTGAGATCATGACCTGAGCCGAAGGCAGATGCTTAACGACTGAGCCACCCAGGCGCCCTGAACTTTTTTTTTTTTTTAAGATTTTATTTATTTATTTTGACAGAGCGAGCACACAAGCAGAGGGAGGGGTAGAGAGGGAGGGAGAAGCAGGCTCCCCGCTGAGCAAGGAAGGAGCCTGATACAGCACTTGATCCCAGGACCCTGGGATCATGACCTGAGCTGAAGGCAGACACCTCACCGACTGAGCCACCCAGGTGTCCTAGGTCTTGAACTTTTATCAAAAGTTTATCATCTTATTTTACAGTTTTATAATTTTAGTTCATATTTAATTACCACCTAAGATGTAAACTAGTTTTGCTTAAAGGCTATGGAATTGATTATTGCAGTTAAATTTTACTTCTCAAACCTGTGTTCACAGAAAGTTCAGCATCCTCTGTTGAGTCACCTACAAACGCTGCTTTGATCTCAAAAGAGACAACCCCAGTGGCACAAAATGCAGCCCAGGTATGGATCAGAAATGCTCTGTCAAAGGATATGCATTCTCAATTAAGTGGAAGTACCCATTGTACTTACACAGAAACATTGGGGTCACATTTCAGCTTGTACTTTTAAAAAATGTGGTATTGTGCATCTGCTTATTTATGGAATCAAAATAATTTAATTGACTTTCCCAGAAACTCTGGAGGTTAAATATATATATTTTTTTTACCCAACAAAAGATTTTTAAGAGTAGTAGCCATTGTTGATGAAGGTGGAGGGAAATGGATGCTCTTGTACACTCACACTTTTCATGCAAATCAGCAAAATGTTTGGGGACACAATTTGGAAATGAGATGGAATATTTATCCAGAGTGTCTGGGACCTAATCCATTCTGGATTAGTGATATTCCAGAGTGTAGAAATTTTAATGCCAAAAGAAGCTTATGCTTAAAAAGACTGGATCCAGCCCCACATATTCCTGAAACATCCTTTTGTTCTTAAAATTTCGATAAATGGATCAAAGAACCGGAAGTTTATTTAGAACTGCAGTTGAGCACTTTAATCAAACCTGCCAGTTCAGCTTGCTAAACTTTATAAATGTCTTTCTAGGTTCTTGAGTCCTTTGAACACTTGCCACCTCTCCCAGAGCCACCACCACTACTACCTGAACTGGTAGACAAAATCCGAGATACACTTCCTCCCCAGAAGCCTGAGCTCAAAGTGAAACGGGTGCTGAGACCCAGGGGCATTGCCCTGACTTGGAACATCACCAAAATCAATCCCAAGTGCGCTCCCGTGGAAAGCTATCACCTCTTCCTCTGCCATGAGAACCCTAACAATAAGTTGATTTGGAAGAAAATTGGAGAAATTAAAGCTTTGCCACTCCCAATGGCCTGTACTTTATCTCAATTTTTAGCTTCCAACAAATACTATTTTACTGTCCAATCAAAAGACATTTTTGGGCGATATGGACCATTTTGTGACATAAAATCTATCCCTGGGTTTTCTGAAAATCTTACCTAAAAGAAAAGTCTTGAGTAATTATATATTGTATGGCACTGTTTTTTTTCATATTTGAGTTGTTGGTTTACAGTGTTCTCTAACACTGTTTGCCATCTTAAAGGGCCAGTTGAGATTGTGAACCCTTTGTATAGGGACAGTCCTCTTCCCTATGTTCTAAGAGGCCTCTCGTTTCATGAATTTGTGATTTGCGTTCAGTAAGTACTCCAGCGGCTATGTTCTACAGCCTACACTCTGGCGGACCCGCATCGCTGAGCAGTGCTGTGCACAGTGCCACTGCTGACTGGGGGCTGCTGCGCACTTCCATCCAGAGCCCTCGCGTGGAAGCCGCCACTGTTCCCTCTGCTGGCAATCCACGCTTGGTGGTCAGTGCAGGTCGGTGAAAAATCCGCTTTTTAGGAGGCAGGCTCATCCCGGGGGTGCATCTCACCAAGATCTTACATAAATAAGTGTCTTCTCATTCTGTTCAAAATCTAAGGGCTATTAATTTGCCCGCTCCCTTATTTTTCTTTTTTGGCTATTCAGTTACTTGGGGAAAGAGTCTGGAGGTTTTCCCTAAATCTGTTTGTATATTTATATTTAGATATGTAATAAAATTAGTTAAACATTGTGTGCTATGTACACAAAACGTAGAGTCTCTCTTATAAAAGCATTATCCAACCCACTGTTTCTGCTCCAGAAAATGGAGTTGTCTGCCTTAGGCTTAAGGCTTTCATTTGTTGATTCTTTGGTGCTACTCTCTGTTCATCGCCCAGCTGCCATGGTTCCTCAGAGGAACCCTGAAGGACCCCGAGAGAGGAGTCCCGGGCACACCCCTGTCTGAGGGGCACTGAAGTGAAGCTGTGGCTAGCACAAGTCGCCCAAGAAGCTCAACGAGCGGGCACACTGGATAAGCGTGAGTCAGGGCCCAGTGCGATGCTGAGAAAACAAACGTAACTATTAGTGTGAAGAACAGTCTGCCCGCCAGAGGCGTTCTTTCCTGGTACGTGATGAATGTTCAGTCCTAGACGCTCTGAGATTTCAAAAATTGAATGAGGAATGGTTTTCTTTGGCATTTTATGAATGTCTTCACATCTTCGGTCATATATAAAGTTTTATTTTTCAGTCTCCTGTGTCTTTTTTTTTTTTTTTTTAAGATTTTATTTATTTGACAGAGAGAGAGACAGCGAGAGAGGGAACACAAGCAGGGGGAGTGGGAGAGGGAGAAGCAGGCTTCCTGCGGAGCAGGGAGCCCGATGCGGGGCTCGATCCCAGGACGCTGGGATCATGACCTGAGCCGAAGGCAGACGCTTAACGACTGAGCCACCCAGGCGCCCCTGTCTCCTGTGTCTTTACCTTCTAAAACATTACTACTGGAAAAGCCAGATTTGGAACTGAATTTGAGGAGATGAGCTGCCCTCTGTGAGACCCGGTTTCAGGCTCAGAGCAATGGTGAGCATCCTGCAGCACAGGACAGGGGCTTCATTTAGGGACCATTACACCCTTGGGGGGGTACGCAGACTAGACATTCATGTACAAGCCAAGCGAAGCCCAAAGGCTTGACACCATAAGCAAGATTTAGGTGTGCATCACCAAAGTGAAACTGCATCCCAACCAGCACATCTTCTGGAATGTTGGTGGCTGCACAGGGCTTAAGCAAGAGCTTTCAAAATAACAGGATGAGTGAGGAAGGCTGATAGTAAGCATCTTAGGGCTGGTGACTCAAGAAGCATTAATGTTTCTTGCCTTTTGGAAAGTGCAAGATTCTCAACTGTTATCCATGGCACCAGAAGAGACACAGCCTAAGGACAAGAAAGATCTAGTACACAGTACAGAGGGAAATGGATGCCCTGATTTTAGGCAGAAAGGGTGAAAGCAAAGAGGTCTTCCTGTGCCTACTGTTTCTCAGTGGCCTTCAGCTCAACACGATCCTTACGCCCGAGCAGCATATTTGGATTTCCTTCATGGATAGAAATACCAGGTAGTTGCATCTCTCCCCCGACAGAAATCTCCTACGAGGCCAAAAGATAGGAACTGATGGAATTGGATTTTAGGGCTGCATTATTGGCTTTTTTTTTTAATTCAATTTTACTCCACCCTCCAGATTTGTGGTAATGGGTAATACGTAAAAGTGTCAATCTCTGAATTTCTGTCACCTCAGCCTCTGTAAAGATTGCAGGAAGTTGATTCAATAAGGCTGATCTCAAGGGACACAGCTGTAGATGCTGTTACCAATCACTGGGGCAAGGACCCATGTCAAAGTTCTTTTCCTTTTTTCGATGGAGGGAAATAACGTCTGATCTGTGAAGATAATATTTCTATACTCAAGACTTACTGTTAAGACTATTTCCAACCCAATTCTATTCCCCTGGATTTGGGGGGGAGTCTAGTGTGTGCAGTTGGACAGGTTGAATGGAATGGATTTAGGCAAGATAACACAAGAGGCAGAGGATACTTGATTTTTGCAATATAATAGAGTTTTAACTCTTTGGATGCAAGGGAATACTCAGTTTGGGGGAAGGAGTACCTAATGGTAGGAGCGATCTGTGTGACTGGTGTCCAGAGTGCCTTGAAGAAAGGGTACAGATACAGCACGGGGTGGAAGCCACACATGGGGGTAATTACTCGGGGTCATGGGGTATTTTCTGGCCTGTCTGCAAATGAACCTGATCATCACAGCTTGAGGTCAGCTCCCGTTGGGCAAACTATGCTTCTCTCTCCATGAAAAAGAAATTGTTCCAAGAGAGGGACACCCATCTCTTGCTCACCCATCTCTTGCTCACAGATGGGGACCCACAAGTGGCAAGCAGAGATATTTGGGTAATTCAGCAGTAGGATATGGGACTTTCTTTCAGCCAAATGGGCTCTGTATAAAACCAGTTTGGTAAATTTATGGGCAGGGGTTATTCCTCTGAGCAAAACAGAGGCCAGGCATGGGTAGGCTGGGTTATAGCCCAAGACAGAGGAGAAATTCTTAGCAGTTGTGCCAAGAGGTTTATGACATGGGAAAGGTTTGGGCATGAAGCTCAGCCAACCCAAAATTGTTTTCACCAATTCATTAAATTTTCCCAGTGAAATATTCATGTATTCATTCATCAAGGAATTATTGAAAATCTGCCATATGCCAGACACCAGGCCAGGGGCTAACATGGAGAACAAGAATAGATACTGTACCAGGGCGCCTGCCTGGCTCAGTCAGTTGGGCGTCTGCCTTTGGCTCAGGTCATGGTCTCAGGGTCCTGGGATTGAGCCCTGCATCGGGCTCCCTGCTCAGCAGGGAGTCTGCTGCTCCCTCTCTCTTTCTGCCCCTCCTCTCAGCTCATGCTCCCTCCCTCTCTCTCGCTCTCGCTTGCCCTCACTCTCAAATAAATAATAAAATCTTTAAAAAAAAAAAAAAAAGTAGATACTGTCCCTGCCTTTTTGGAACTGACCTAAGGACATTAACAAGTAAAAAAAACACAGGATTTTCAGAGAGCGACAATGTGATCCACGAGGAAACTGAGCAGGGAGATATGGTGGAGCATGATGATGAGGCTATGTGAGACAGGCCTGTCATGGAGAGCTTCTTGGAGGGGGAGGCACTTAGGCCTGAAGGATGAGAAGGGGCAAGACATAAGGATGTCAGCTGGAAGGGTTAGTGCCAGGTCAAGGGGCTTAACCCACACTCAAGAAAGTCCTCTAAAGGAACAGGATTTGGGTCTAAGAGGGTATCCCATGGGCCAATGAAATGCAGTGCATGATTCTTAGTGGATCCTGGATTTAGAAAAACAGCTCTAGAGGACATCATTTGGACAACTGGCAAAGTCCCAACTATAGACTATATAGAAAATAGTTTTGTGTCCATGTTAAAGATGGACATTTAACTCCATGCCTTGATGTCTGCAATTAACAAATGGTTTAAAATATTTACACACACACAGGAAGGTCAAAGCAAATATGACCGCAATGTTAACAGCTGGTGAATCTAAGTGGAAAGTGTATGGCTGTCATGTTATTCTTGTAACATTTCTGTAGGTTGAAAATTTCAAAATAAAAAGTTGGGGGACAAAACAATGGATCATTGAACTCTTCCAGTCCATGGAGAGTCTGGAAATTCTGATTTAGCTGAGATCTGCAAAACAGGTAGAGCTCACCAGGTTAAGAGCACAGAGAAGAACATCTGCAAGAGGCAGGTGGTTCAGGATAGTTCAGGGAGGCCTACAGAGGTTGGCAGGAGCTAGACCATGGACAGCCAACTGTAGAGGACCTCGGTCTCCTGCAGCACGGCCTTGCCTCCCCGCCATCGAGAGGGACAGTCTGTCTCTCCATCTCCTTGACTCTGGGCAGGTCTAGGACTGCTTTGACCAATGGAACACAGCAGAAGCGATACTAGGGCACCTCTCGGAGCTGGCCTGGCAGCGTCTACTTCCTGCTTCTTGGAAGCCAGCCACTGTCTAAAAAGTGCAACGACCCCAAGATCACCTTGTTGCAAGAAGCCCATTCAGGAGACCTTTGAGGACAAGATGTCACATGGTGGCAGAGGGGAGGCCCATGAGTGAGGAAGCCATCTTTGAAGCAGACCCTGGGTTTCAAACGCCCCAGCTGAAGTCATGGGAATCAGACAAACAGTTCAGCTGAGCCCCACTCAAATTCCTGACCCATAGTACAGCAAAACAAAAGCTATCTAAGCCTCTAAATTTGGGGCTTGTTTATGAGGCAGCAGCAAGACCTGGGACACTGTTAGACACTGGTAGTCCATGTTAGGAAGTTGGGTCGTTATTGTACATAATGCTGCTATAAACACAGGGGTGCATGTATCCCTTTGAATTAGTGTTTGTATTTTTGGGGTAAATACCCAGTAGTGCGACTACTGGATCCTAGGTCATTCTATTTTTAACTTTTTGAGGAACCTCCATACTATCGCAGTATTATTTACAATAGCCGAACTATGGAAACAGCCCAAGTGTCCATCGACTGATGAATGGATAAAGAAGAGGTGGTACAGATATATAGTGGAATATTATTCAGCCATAAAAAGGAATGGAATCTTGCCATTTGCAATGACATGGATGGAGCTACAGAGTAGAGTGCTAAGAGAAATAAATCATCCTGAGAAAGACAAATA